TGCTCATTTTTATGGCCCTTTCCCCTTTTTTTATTGAGTTGACATAGACTCAAGTAATTTCCCTCAAATTAGGATGGTGCATCAAGATTTTAATGGTCGGGATAGCTCAACCGGTGGAGCAAAGGACTGAAAATCCTTGTGTCACCAGTTCAAATATGGTTCCCGACGACTCATTATGTATGAGTATCTATTCCCATATTTCTTTTCAAAAATCAAATATTGGGAGGAATAGATACATATTGATTAGTGGTCTTAATAATTATACATAGTTTATCTAGGCGTATAGAGATATGCTCTTTCTAGATGAAAAAGGAATCGATGTATATTCTAGGAAGTATGAAAATGAATGATTCTAGTCTGTTTCGATTTTTTCTGCGTTGCAATAACAAATGTTCATATTTCAACAATATTTAAATGGTTCAATTAGTTGGTTGAACGACCAAAAAGTTGAATCTAGCGGAGTTCATAAGTAAGAATAGTCAAAATTTATTTGAGATACATTATCAAAAAATCTGGTCCATTTCTTTGTATTTTCTTTGATCATACTTTTTATTTTTCGTAGCCAGATATCTACTACTTGGAATAGAAATAGGAAATTGACTTCATTATAGGACTTATTAATCTTGTAAAAATTTTAAAATATCGGGTAGGAGTCCATGCCGCTACTCGGACTCGAACCGAGATGCTCTAGCACTGCTTCCTAAGAGCAGCATGTCTACAAATTCCACCATAGCGGCTGACTCGAAATCATAATAACCAATTATTTAGTCAAAGTCAATAGTCAATCGTCGAGATTGAAAAAAGTGAATTCCAATATTTATTGAGTATATTCCTTTACTGTTTACTAAACATTTATTCTCAATTGATAATAAAACTAAATTGATGATAAAAAGTAATTTAATTTTTTCTAATATATAATAGAAATGAATATAGAAATATATAATATATGCAATCATTTTCAATTTAAGTAAAAGAATTTTTGATTTCTATATTCATTTCTTTTTTTTTCCCATGCAGTGTTTGTTTTCAAATTTAACAACGACGGGGAATGGGTTTTTTGTAGTTTAGACTTTTTCAAATAAAAAAAGCACTGTTGAAACTAGAACTATCTAGTTCTGACTTCAATCCAGTAATGAAAAAGAAATTTTTTATGTAGTTGCTTATGAATCATTCAAAAAAATGAGATTATAGATATATTTAGAATATATTCTAAATATATGTTTATATATGTTTCATATTCTATAATAGTATTAGTATAAAATGACTATTAAAGAATACTCTTTGAATCGAGCTAATTCATATTATTCTCGTCTAACATTTGTATTTCTTACAATAACACAACTTTTTTTTTATTACATGGCAAAAAAGGGCGAGGTTTTGTATTTATTACAATACGATAACTTTTTGAGGTACCTGTCAAAATAGAGTGAGCTAATGAAAAGGCTTTCAATGCTGCCTTATATCCTCTTTTTTTCCAAAAATTCTTATGATTTTTTTTTGATATAGAAGTGCGTTTTTTTGGAACTGGCATACAATTAGTATAGTTTTTTCGTTGCTATAGTTTGATGTGAAAGACATTTGTTCTGTAAATGAAAACGAATTATTCTGTAATTAGTCGTATGTCTTATCTGTCTAAATTAGCTCTTTCTCTTTTTTTCCATCAAAAGGTAAAGTAAAAACATTGAATATTATAAACCTTTTCCAAATTTTTCATAGATAATAGATATATATGGATCTCTTTTTATTGTAATGTAAAATAATCAATTAGTTCAAAAAGGAACTAATGTTTCTGAATTAAAAAAAAAAGTATTATTTTATATTATATTATATTATTTTTCTAAGTTATATTGAAATAAACAAATGTTGTTTAGTTTTGGTGTACTGATTTATCCTCATCCTCGCTCTATAGATAATAGATAAAAAAAATTATTTTACAATTATTAATAGTCATTTTTCTTAATATCTATTTTTTAAATTAAAAAATAACTAACCTAACATAGGAATTAATAGTAATATTAATTAATGAATATATTACTGAAATACTGAAAATAATTATTATTATTTATTTTTTTCACTAGGAATTTTGTTATTGGCCAGTTTTGACTTTGTACTTTTCAATATTAGGACCATTGTGCAAAGATTTAGAGCAATTAAGAATATCCAATTCTATTTTCATATCCACTTTTTTATTAACCGAGCCCATTTACAAAAGATATAAAACAAACGAATAAGAAACAAAATTCATCAAGAATCTAAATATTTTTTATTCTTTCTTTTTGTATGGAATATACACATCAATCTTCATGGATCATACCTTTCATCCCTCTTCCAGTTCCTATTTTAATAGGGGTAGGACTTCTACTTTTTCCCACGGCAACAAAAAATCTTTGCCGTATGTGGGCTTTTCCTAATATTTTCTTGTTAACCATAGTTATGATTTTTTCGATCGATTTATCTATTCAGCAAATCGAGAATAGTTCTATCTATCAATATGTATGGTCTTGGACTATAAATAATGATCTTTCTTTAGAGTTTGGCTACTTGATCGATTCACTTACTTCTATTATGTCAATATTAATCACTATTGTTGGTATTCTGGTTCTAATTTATAGTGATGGTTACATGTCTCATGATCAATGGGTATTTGAGATTTTTTACTTATATGAGTTTTTTTAATACTTCAATGTTAGGATTAGTTACTAGTTCAAATTTGATACAAGTTTATATTTTTTGGGAATTGGTTGGAATGTGTTCTTATCTATTAATAGGTTTTTGGTTCACACGTCCTATTGCGGCAAATGCTTGTCAAAAAGCGTTTGTAACGAATCGTGTAGGGGACTTTGGTTTATTATTAGGAATCTTAGGTTTTTATTGGATAACCGGTAGTTTGGAATTTAGGGATTTATTTCAAATATTCAATAACTTAATTTATAAGAATGAGGTAAATATTCTTTTTGTTACTTTGTGTGCCCTCTTGTTATTTTGTGGTTCAGTTGCAAAATCTGCCCAATTCCCTCTTCATGTATGGTTACCAGATGCTATGGAAGGTCCTACTCCTATTTCTGCTCTTATACATGCTGCTACTATGGTAGCAACGCGAATTTTTCTTGTAGCTCGACTTCTTCCTCTTTTCATAGTTATACCCTCGATAATGAGTGGAATAGTTTTGCTAGGTATAATAACAGTAGTATTAGGAGCTACTTTAGCTATTGCTCAAAAAGATATTAAGAAAATTTTAGCCTATTCTACAATGTCACAATTGGGTTATATGATGTTAGCTTTAGGTATGGGCTCTTATCGAGCCGCTTTATTTCATTTGATTACTCATGCTTATTCAAAAGCATTGTTGTTTTTAGGATCTGGATCCATTATTCATTCAATGGAAGCTATTGTTGGATATTCTCCAGATAAAAGTCAAAATATGGTTCTTATGGGCGGTTTAACAAAACATGCGCCAATTATAAAAATGTCTTTTTTAATAGGTACACTTTCTCTTTGTGGTATCCCACCTTTTTCTTGTTTTTGGTCCAAGGATGAGATTCTTAATGATAGTGGGTTGTATTCACCAATTTTCACAATAATAGCTTGTTCCACCGCAGGATTAACTGCATTTTATATGTTTCGAATTTATTTACTTGATTTTGAAGGATATTTAAATGTTCATTTTCAAAATTTCAATGGAAAGAAAAATAGTTCCTTCTATTCAATATCTTTATGGGGCAAAGAAGAAGAAAAATTTAAAAAGAAAATTCATTTATTAGGTTTCTTAACAATGAATAATAATGAAAGGACTTCTTTTTTTCGGGAGAAGACGTATTCACATCGAATAAATCGAAATGTCAAAAGCATAAGACGGCTTTTTCTAGATAGTACCCCTTTTGGTACTAAAAATATTCCTTTTTTTATCCTCGTGAATCAGACAATACTATGCTCTTTTCTATGCTAGTATTAGTACTATTTACTTTCTTTGTTGTGTCCATTGGAATTTCTTTCATCCAAGAAGGAATAGATTTGGATATATTATCTAAATTGTTAATTTTGTCTATAGATCTTTTACATCAAAATTCAAAGAATTATGTGGATTGGTATGAATTTTTTATAAATGCAACTTTTTCGGTAAGTATAGCTTTTTTCAGAATATTTATAGCATCTTTTTTCTATAAACTGGTTTTTTCTTCTTTACAAAATTTGAACTTATTTAATTTATTTCAAAAAAATGTTCCCAAAAAAATTATTTCTGATAAAATAATCAATATTCTATATGATTGGTCATATAATTGTGGTTATATAGATGCTTTTTTTGAAGTATCTTTAATTGCGAGTGTAAGAAAGTTAGCTAAATTCAATTATTTTTTTGATAGATAGCTAATTGATGGAATTCCGAATGGAGTTGGTATTTCCAAAAAATTTATAGGAAAGGCTATCAAATATGTGGGAGGGGGCGAATTTCTTCGCGCTAAGACTTATGGTAGAGTTGTTTATGAAGGTCTCATTTGAAAAGCTTATGGTAAATCACGAAAGCTGTCGTAGCTGGCAACAGGAGTATATTATAAATTCTTTTCTCTTTTTTGTTTTAAGAGATTCGTGGGCGAACAACGGGAATTGAACTCGCGGATGGTGGATTCACAATCCACTGCCTTGATCCACTTGGCTACATCCGCCCTATAAGTATGGCTAAATTACACTATGTCTAAATTACATAACTTTTTATACCTTTTCATTATTCTTTTCTTCTAAGTTCTTACGAATCTTCTAAAATATTATAAAATAAGAAAATATTCATTTATTTATAAAAATAATAATAATAATAAAACTCAAAATTTACAAATTGATTTTGTTGAAATAAAGAATGCTAATTCTAAAGAATATGGAAGTTAATAAATTATTTATTAATTTCTGTATGTGTAGACTGAAAAAGAATACTAAAAGTAAGGGAGTAATATCCACAATGTTGATATTACTCCCTTACTTTCAAAAACTCGTATCCTTAAACCAAACTATTATCCATTTATAGATGGAGCCTCGATCGCAGCTAGGTCTAGAGGGAAATTATGAGCATTACGTTCATGCATAACTTCCATACCAAGGTTAGCACGGTTAATAATATCAGCCCCATGTATTAATTACACGACCTTGACTATCAACTACAAATTGGTTAAAATTGAAACCATTTAAATTGAAAGCCATAGTGCTGATACCTAACACGGTAAACCAGATACCTACTACAGGCCAGGAAGCTAGGAAGAAATGTAAAGAGCAAGAATTGTTAAAACTAGCATATTGGAAGATCAATCGGCCAAAATAACTGTGAGCAGCTACAATATTATAGGTTTCTTCCTCTTGACCGAATATGTAACCTTCATTAGCAGATTCATTTTCTGTGGTTTCCCTGATCAAACTAGAAGTTACCAAGGAACCGTGCATAGCACTAAATAGGGATCCGCCAAATACACCAGCTACACCTAACATGTGAAATGGGTGCATAAGAATATTATGCTCAGCCTGAAATACAATCATAAAGTTGAAAGTACCAGAGATTCCTAGAGGCATACCGTCTGAAAAGCTTCCTTGACCAATTGGGTAGATCAAGAAAACTGCAGTAGTAGCTGCGACGGGAGCTGAATATGCAACAGCAATCCAAGGGCGCATACCCTGACGAAAACTAAGTTCCCACTCACGACCCATGTAACAAGCTACACCGAGTAAGAAGTGTGGAACAATTAGTTCATAAGGACCACCATTGTATAACCATTTATCAACGGATGCAGCTTCCTATATCAGGTAAAAGTGCAAACCAGTAGCCGCAGAAGTAGGAATAATGGCACCATAAATAATATTTTTTCCGTAAAGTAGAGATCCAGAAACAGGCTCACGAATACCATCAATATCTACTGGAGGGGCGGCAATGAAAGCATAATAAATACAGAAGTTACAGTTAATAAGGTAGGGATCATCAAAACACCAAACCATCCAATGTAAAGACGGTTTTCAGTGTTGGTTATCCAGTTACAGAAGTGACCCATAGGTTTTCTCTATCGCGTCTCTCTAAAATTGTAGTCATGGTAAAATCTTAGGTTTATTGAAATTTAATTATCAGGGACTCCCAAAGCACATGAATTCTCTAGAACTATAGAATTAAGGGCTTGTTATAAAACAGTATAACATGACTTATATACGGGTGTCAACCAATACCACTATCCACTGTATCCTGTTATTGATCTAGATTCATACAAATTGTATTTTTTTTACCTCATTTCACCATCCATTCAAAAAAAAAGAAAAAAAGTTTTCTATATTCTCTAGATATGACTTTGCTATGATATGTAATAGTGATAGATTCATTATTTCGCTATATTAAGTACAATTTATCTATTCATTATAATGGGTTGTCCGGGACTCGAACCCGGAACTAGTCGAATGGAGTAGAAAATTCATTGTTTAATCAAATAAAACAACAAAAAATCCCTCCCCAAGCCGTGCATGCATTTTTCATTGCACACGGCTTTCCCTATGTATACATCTAAACCTGAGTTACTTCAGAGGAATCTTGAAACTCAACCCTATCATAACCAATCATTCATCATGGACTAGATCGTTACTGAAAAGAATATCCAAATACCAAATGCGATTTCTATGTAACCGCTGCAAAGTAGAGGAATCTCTTGGAAAAATAAAAGCAAGAATCTCTTCTTCCTCTATAAAGAATTCTTGCTAGAATTCTTCTGAACCTGGTCTTTTCAAAAAAGCGCGTACAATATGTTTATGTTTACAAGCCAAAGTTTTAATACAAGAAAGCCGAAGTATATACTTTATTCGATACAAACTTTTTTTTTAGGATCCATTATAATAATGAGAAAGATTTCTGCATATTCCCAAAAATCAGTCAATAATATCAAAATCAGATGAATCGGCCCAGACCGGCTTACTAATGGGCTGCCCTAATACATTACAAAATTTTGCTTTAGCCAATGATCTAATTAGAGGAATAATTGGAACTATTATATCAAGTTTTTTGATAACAATTTCTATTAGAAATGTATTTTGCAGCATTTGACTCCGTACCACTGAACGATTTAGTCGCACATTTGAAAAATAGCCTAACAGCTGAAATGAATGTTCGGATAATGAGTTTATATTGATCATTCTGGGTTGAGACCAAACATCAAAAAAACATTTCCATATATGGATAAAAAAGTGTTTCCATTTATTCATCAAAAAAGGCGCATTCTTTGAAGCCATAATGCATTTTCCTTGATATCGAACATAATGAATGTTAGGATCCTTGAAGAATGTTAAAGTATACGAAAAATCTTTAGCAAAAACTTTGACAAGATCCTCTCTTTTTGCATATAAAAAATTCGCTAAAAAAAACGCTAAAAGATTTTAATCGTAAATGAGAGGATTTATTACGTAGAAAAACAAAGATAGATTCATATTCACATACATAAAAATTATAGAGGAACAAGAAGAATCTTCGATGACTTTTTGAAAAAGTAGAAATTGATTTTTTGGTAGTAATAAAACTATTCCAATTCCAAAGAAACAACCGTAATAAATGAAAAAAAGGGGCATCTTTCACCCAGTATCGAAGGATTTGAACTAAGATTTCCAGATGGATAGGATAGGGTATTCGTATATCTGACACATAATTAAAATATGTCAATTTATCCTCCAAAAAGGTAAAAATGGAATGAATTGATCTCAAATTTTTATAAGATTTGATGATTTCTTCCTCCTCTAAGGAAGAGCTTAATTGTAGGAAAAATGGAATTTCCACGATGATGGCGAAACCCTCTGATATTATTTGAGAATAAAAATTATTATTATACCCCCAAAATGGATTTTTGTTAGAATCATTAGCTCAAATGATTAAATGATTCTGTTGATACATTCGAGTAGTTAACCGTTTTACAATTACTAAACTATATTTCTTGTCATAACCTATATTTTCCACAAAAGTGGATCTATTCAAATTATGACTATAAGCAAGTCCATAAATATACTCCCTAAAAATAAGTGGGTATAGGAAGTGTTGTTGGCGAGATCTAGCTTGTTCTAAATATACTTTATATTCCTTCATTTTAGAAATGATATTTGGTCAAAGGATTAGAGATTCATTTGATTATCAAATGATACATAGTGCGATACAGTCAAAACAAGGTATTCTATATCTATATTCGAATTGAAATAAAAAACAAATATGAATAGATACCTAGAAAATGAGTTAAAACACATTAATGGACTATCTCCCCTCGCGTGTTCCTTCTAATTTTTCTAGGACAACAAGCTAGTTAGAAATCCTTTATTTTTTGGGGACCAATCGCTCTTTTGATTTTGGAAAAAAATATCTTTATCAATATACTCTTTCTTCTACACATTTCTTGCTACCCCATAACATAATGGGGAATAGCTAATTAGGACTCATAACAAAAATTCTTAATCCATTCGTGGGAAAAACTTTTTCCACAGCAAGCATTAATCCTTTTTAACGTATAACTAGGTGTGGTAATCATTCCAATAAAAAATGAAAGCTCGTTGCTTTTTCTTTCCCTATAATTCGAGCAGCTAAGCTCTATCCCTTTATTAATTCAACCCAACGGAATTCATTTGTTCCCAGCCAACAATTCAAAGAAAAAGATTTGTCAGATCCAATATGAATGAAAAAAAATTGAATTCGCTGTTGATACGACATGCTGCTTTTTCCATTCATTCCTTTCTGGATCAGTCGTGGTCTTACAAATCCTACCGATGGTATAGATGAACCAATTAGTTCATAGAAATGTGTAAAAAATGGAGTCTCACTTAAAAGCCGAGTACTCTACCATTGAGTTAGCAACCCTAATAAAATTACAAACAAGGATCTGTATATCCAATCGCAATAAAAAAAAAGATGGAATTCTATAAATAATAGAATCAAATGTTACATATTACATTATATTACAATACAATGAAAAAAAGAAAAAATGAGAATCAAAAATGATAGACGACTTGTTTAGTACAGTACTGTAGTTATTTGTCTATTAATATAGTTTTAAATTAGTATTATTTTATTTTTTTTCATATTTCTATTTCACTGTGAAGAAAAAAAACTTCTTGTTTGTATCAAACAAAATCAAAATACAATGAATCCACCATTTGATGAAGTAAAAAACCTATGTGACATGAGTCAACCCATCCATTGATTCCCAATCAGATTATATTTGTTTGATGCACTGTTGTCAATATTAGTGTTGAAAAAAAGAATACAATCGAGAAAACAAATAAAAAAATATTTCTATTCTCATTTTTTAATAGAAAATATTTCTATTTTAATTCATTCTATTCCAAATCAAAAAAGAAGAATGAACTAGAAGAAAAAATAGATCAATCCTAAAGATCTATAGGATTCATTCTAGATACAACAAGTATTTTTGTATTGTGTATTGTATTCGGCTCAATCCTTTTAGTAAAAGATTGGGCCGAGTTTAATGGAAATTAATAGAACGAATGATTATTACTGGATTACAAAGTATCCATTGCTGGGAATTCAAATTTGATTTCCTTCCAGACTTCACAAGCAGCAGCTAATTCAGGACTCCATTTGCAAGCTTCGCGGATAATTGCATTACCCTCGCGAGCAAGATCACGTCCCTCATTTTGAGCTTGTACACATGCTTCCAGAGCTACTCGATTCGCTACGGCACCAGGTGCATTTCCCCAAGGGTATCCTAAAGTTCCTCCACCGAATTGGAGTACAGAATCATCTCCAAATATCTCGGTCAGAGCAGGCATATGCCAAACGTGAATACCCCCTGAAGCAACAGGGATAACACCTGGTAAAGAAACCCAATCCTGAGTGAAATAAATACCGCGACTTCCATCTTTTTCAATATAATCATCACGTAGTAAATCAATAAAACCTAACGTATTCTCCCTCTCTCCTTCAAGTTTACCTACTACAGTACTAGCGTGAATATGATCTCCACCAGACATATGTAAGGCTTTAGCTAATACACGAAAGTGCATACCATGTTTTTTTTTGTCTATCGATAACTGCATGCATAGCACGGTGGATATGAAGAAGTAGACCATTATCGCGGTAATAGTGAGACAGGGTAGTATTTGCAGTGAATCCACCTGTTAAGTAGTCTTGCATTATGATAGGAACGCCAATTCTCTAGCAAATACAGCTCTTTTTAGCATTTCTTCACATGTACCCGCAGTAGCATTCAAATAATGTCCTTTAATTTCACCTGTTTCGGCCTGTGATTTATAAATTGCTTTGGCACAAAATAAGAAACGGTCTCTCCAACACATAAATGGTTGGGAGTTCACATTTTCATCATCTTTGGTAAAATCAAGTCCCTCACAGAGACATTCATAAACTGCTCTACCATAATTCTTAGCGGATAAACCCAATTTTGGTTTAAAAGTACATCCCAATAGGGGACGTCCATACTTGTTCAATTTATCTCTCTCAACTTGGATTCCGTGAGGAGGACCTTGGAAAGTTTTAACATAAGCATTAGGGATTCGCAAATCTTCCAGACGTAGAGCGCGTAAAACCTTGAACCCAAATACATTACCTACAATGGAGGTAAACATGTTAGTAACAAAACCTTCTTCAAAAAGGTCTAAGGGATAAGCTACATAAGCAATAAATTGATTATCTTCTCCAGGAACAGGCTATATCTCGTAGCAGCGTCCTTTATAACGATCAAGGCTGGTAAGTATATCGGTCCACACTTATCCATGTACCAGTGAAAGATTCTGCAGCGATGCACCTCCTTCTTCAGCCGAAACTCCTGGTTGAGGAGTTACTCAGAATGCTGCCAAGATATCAGTATCTTTGGTTTAAAATGGGAACGAAACTAGAAGTGACCATGAAAATCTAAGTAGAAGTTGAGGGACCATAGAAAAACTAAAAATTAAAATTTTAAAATGAGAATAAAAAATGTATTTAAATCTATAATTAATATATTAATATATTATATAAAAGTTTATTACACAAAAATAATGGTTCAATTGATATCATTATTCGTAGGGGTAGTAAAACAGGTCTGACCCGTCGGGTCAGCTATC